TTAAAAAATGGGCAAAGGAAATGAACAGACACTTCACCAAAGAAGACATTCAAGCATCTAACAGACACACGAGGAAACGCTCACGATCACTAGCCATTAGAGAAATGCAAATTAAAACCACAATGAGATACCATCTCACCCCAGCATTGCTGGCATGAATCAAAAACACTGGAAATAACAAATGTTGGAGAGGCTGTGGGGAGATCGGAACTCTTAAGCACTGCTGGTGGGAATGCAAAATGGTATTACCATTTTGGAAAACGATATGGCACTTCCTTAGAAAGCTAGAAATAGAAATACCATATGATCCAGCAATCCCACTCCTATGGAAATAAGAGCCATCATATGAACAGACGTGTGTACACCCATGCTCACTGCATCACTGTTCACAATAGCAAAAGATGTAAACAATCTAGATGCCCATCAACAGATGAATGGATAAACAAACTCTGGTACATACACACAATGTAATACTACACAACAATAAAGAATAATAATGAATCTGTGAAGCATCTCACAACATAGATGAATCTGGAGGGCATTATGCTGAGTGAGATAAGTCAATCACAAAAGGACAAATATTGTATAAGACCACTACCATAAAAACTCATGAAAAGGTTTACACACAAAAAGAAATAATCTTTGATGGAAAACACTAAATAGACAATAGATAAGTGGTAACTTTGGTGAAGGGTAATACAGTACACAATACTGGAGAAGCCAGCACAACTCGTTCAGGGTAAGGTCATGGAAGCTCCATGGACAAATCCAAACTCCCTGAGGGATCGAATTACTGGGCTGAGGGCTGTGGGGTCCATGGTCTCAGGGAACATCTACCTCAATTGGCATAACAAAGTTTATAAAGAAAATGTTCTACATCCTATTTTAGTAAGTAGCGTCTGGGGTCTTCAAAGCCTGTGAGAGGCCATCTAAGATACTACACTGTTCTCACCCCTTCAAGAGCAAGGGAAAATGAAGAAAACTAAAGACACAAGGGAAAGATTAGTCCAAAGGACTAATAGACTACAACTACCACAGCCTCCACCAGACTGAGTCCAGTACAACTAGATGGTGCCCGGCTACCTCCACTGACTGCTCTGACCGTGACAGCGCTGGAGAAAAATGTAGAAAAAAATTCTAACTAGAGAGAGACTGGAGAAACCCCAAGAGTACAGCCCCCGGGCACCCTTTTAGTTCTGTAATGAATTCACTCTGGAGGTTCACCTTCAGCCAAAGATTAGACAGACCCATGGGACAAAAGAAGACTAAAGGGGCACACCAGCCCAGAGGCAAGGACTAGAAGGCAGGAGAGGACAGGAAAGCTGGTAATAAGGAACCCAAGGCCGAGAAGGGAGAGTACTGACATGTTATGGGGTCATTAACCATTGTCATAAAACAATATATGTACTAACTGTTTAATGAAAAGGTAGTTTGTTCTGTAAACTTTCATCTAAAGTACAATAAAAAAAGAACAAAAAAAATTTTAGAAAAAAATTTTTTTGGATTTTATTGAAAGAAATCATGTCAATGATTTTCAAAGGAATAGGATGGAACTTCTGAGGGAGATAAGAATGTTTCATATCTTAATTGGGTTACTTGTACCAAACCAAAACTAAAACCACTGCCGCTGAGTCGATTCTGACTCATAGCAACCCTATAGGACAGGGTAGAATGCCCCACAGGGTTTCCAAGGTTGTAAATCTTTATGGAAGCAGACGGCAACATCTTTCTCCTGTGGAGTGGCTGGTGGGTTCACATCGCTGACCTTTGTTTAGGAGCTGAGTGTTTTAATCACTGCTGCACCAGGGTCCTGGTTGCTGGTTGAACGTGTATATACATTTGTCAGAACTCACTGACATGTACACTTGAAATATGTGTGTTTTTTCTGTGTAAATGATACCTCAATAAAGTGTATTTTAAAAAATTATATTGACATAAACAAACAGGAGAATTGCCCTTCATATAGGTTGGGCTCTTCTGCTGACCACCCTGCTCTCCTCTTATAACCCGTTTAGTGTCATGACAACCAACATTTATTGGATACTTACCAGGTATCACGCAAAGAGTTTTTTATTATTCCATTTAATGCTTACAAATATCCCATGAGGTAGATGAAGTTCAGAGAAATTACGTATCTTGCTCAAGATCACAGAGTGCGTAAGTGGCAGATACAGAATTTGAACACAGGCAGTTTGAATACAAAATGCTGCCTCCTAACCTACTACACAGTACTCCTCCCCTGCATGCTAATCTGTGTGAGAGTACAAATGTTTGAGAGTAATTTAACAATCCACCAAATTTAAATCATCCTTAGTAAACATGAAGCCTGTTCATATTTTTTTAAGATATACACTGCACTTCCATTACCTAGAGGTTTACAAAGGGACCTGACCCTAGGAAATGTCATTCCTTAATTAACTCAATGAAAGTCATAATTAGAAAAGTTAAAGAAATTCAAATATTAGGGCTAAAGACCCATTCATCGTAGTTATAAAACACTGAACTAGAATCTAGAAGGATAATAAAAATCTTATGGTTGACTCAAGTAGTTAAGACTCATGTAAATCTAACGCAGGCAGTAAAATGTGCATTTATAAAGCTAAAGAGTCCCTAGAAATATTTAATGCCAAATTAGTTATTTAAGAAGTGCAAACTAGATCTTATATTTTTATGTTAAGCCTTTCTGTTGTTTCTCAAAGATGCGAACCCACTCCAGCTTCAACAATGTGTCTAGTTAGATCCTGAATCTGAAAAATTAACTGCTTTTTAAGTTACTGGAAAAATTGTCTCCTGAAATGAAATAAAGTTGGAATGTAATTTATTTCGGATGACACTGAGGTGATTTTCTCTAATTCATTTATAATGAGTAGGCACTTCTCAATTAAGGCAGCCTCATCTGAACCTTATCAGTTAGGAACAGCTGTTGTTTGAACTTGGGTTAACAGAGGAGAAAAGGTTGGCTATTACAAGAAATACAAAATGGGTGCCACCACAGTCTTAACTGGTTCATCTGATATTCAGAAATGTTCATGAGATTTGTAAAATATAAATTTTATACTTTATAAAGTGATTTAACATTTTAACAATGCCATGTAATCTGAAAAAGAGATTTTTCAGTAGTGAATATCACATTTCTAACAATTATCTTAAATTCCTAAAAATGTTTCACACAGAAACAAAATTCTGAGTGATTAATACTAAAGGAGAGTCAGTAGTTTAAAAAAAGAAAAAAGAAAGAAAGTATAAATCAAGGTCGCTGATTCAACAATTTTATGAAGTATTTTTTGCCTATTATTATGTGCAAACTTGTTAGTATTTGTAAAGCAAAAGTTTCTGGGCATGTTAAAACAGTATACTGATATGTATTATACTTATCAAATGTATTCATGCTTGATCAGTCAAAGCTTCTATTTTTGGATAATTATTTCTCTGAGAAACAGATGATGAATTTGGCTATTAATACCTTTCACACCCAGAACAAAGAATTCATTTTCTGTACTTTAGAAGAGTAATATTAAAAGCATAAAAGAGCTATATATAGTTCTGGAAATAATTTAAAACTCAGTAATTGTTGCTTCTAACAGTTTTATAATATTTTCAATAAAATCCTATTGTCGTAGCCTACCACATTATAACATAAGTAGGTGATGTGTTTGCAGAGAATAACTAAGTCATGGGACTCTAAGTCATTTGCCCCATGTAAACCACAAAAGTGAATCCTAACATCATTTACATATCATCCACTCCGATTTGCCCTTGGATTATAATCTTCTTCACAGGTTCGGTCCAGTGTATATTGATCTATAATAAAGTGTTCAGCACAGGCATCACATGTTTATAAGCCTATTGCTTACTGTTGTTGTTGGTAGGTGCCATAGAGTCAGTTCTGACTCATAGCAACCCTATGTACAACAGAACAAAACATTGCCCAGTCCTACACCAAACTCACAATCATTGTTATGCTTCAGCCCATTGTTGCAGCCACTGTGTCAATCCATCTCCTTTAGGGTCTTCCTTTTTTTCCTGACCCTCTACTCTACCAAGCGTGATGTCCTTCTTCAGAGACTGGTCCCTCCTGGTAACATGTCCAAAGTACGTGAGATGAACTCTTGCCATCCTTGCTTCTATGAGCATTCTGGCTGTACTTTGAAGACAGATTTGTTCATTCCTCTGGCAGTCCATGTTATATTTAATATTCTTCACCAACACCATAGTTCAAAGGCTTTGATTTTTCTTTGGTCTTCCTTACTTATTGTCCAGCTTTTGTATGCATATGAGGTGACTGAAAACACCTTGGTCCTCAAAGTGACATCTTTGATTTTCAACACTTTAAAGAGATCTTTTGCGGCAGATTTACCCAATGTAATGCATGGTTTGATTTCTTGACTGCTGCTTCCATGGGTATTGATTGTTGATCCAAGTATAATGAAATCCTTTACAACTTCAATAAATTCTCTGTTTATCATAATTTTGTTTACTGGTCCAGTTGTGAGGATTTTTGTTTTCTTTACGTTGAGGTGTAATCCACTCTGAAGGCTGTAGTCTTTGATCTTCATCAGTAAGTGCTTCAAGCCCTCTTCACTTTCAGCAGGCAAGGTTGTGTCATATGCATATCTCAGATTGTTAATGAGTCTTCCTCCAATCCTGATGCCTCGTTCTTCTTCATATAGTCCACCTTCTGGGATTATTTTGCTCAGCATACAGATTGAATAAGTATGATGAAGGGATACAACCTTGATGCACACCTTTTCTGACTTTAAACCACACAGTATCCCCTTGTCTTGTTGAACTGCCTCTTGGTCTAAGTACAGGTTCCCCATGAACACAATTAAGTGTTCTGGAATTCCCTTTCTTCACAATGTTATCCATAATTTGTTATGATCCACACAGTCGAATGCCTTAGCTTATAGGGGTCTAGAACTAGATGGTCTTTAAACATAATGATGGTAGATTTGATCTCTCTCTAACTCCCATGCAAACAGAGACCAAATCTCATCCTTCTCTTATAGTCTGTGAACACTGGCCAGGAATAACATCTACTTTGATTGTACTGCCATTCTTTTCAAACTTCTAAACATTGAGTATCTATTCAGAGAGCACACAAAAAGGAAACCAATAGGGCTATCCTGTTGCTGATTGAGCACAGCTGCATCAGTATTGGACCCAAAGTAATTAAATTTCTTTAGATTTCTGTCAACTGACTCAGTATTTTTCAATGGGAGGTGTGATGGTATTTTGGGCAGGACAATTCATATAAGTTTGGCACATCTATAACCCTGCCTACTAAAGGCCATTAGCATATCCAGTGCCTGTGACAGCATTAACAATGCCCCTACTCATTTGCAAAAGCTCTCAGGAGTGGGGCGATCCCACTCTGCTAGAGAACCTTGGGTCACGATGTTACATAGTGATGAGGCATGGCACTGGTAGCTGAAATCCTCCATCATTCATGGGAAAGCACTGGAATGAAATGCTTAGGTCCTAGAGCTAGACCAGACAGGTTCACATACTAGCAATGCTTGCTACTAGCTGAATAATCTTGGGCAAATTATTTAATGTTCTTAAGTCTCAGTTTCCCCACATGCAACATGGGGTGGATGACAGTACTCAATTTACAAGATCTTTGGGAGAATTAAACCATAGAATGTATGTAAAGTGCTAAGTACTCTACCTACCACTAAATGTTAGCTACTGTTTTTATTATCCATAATATAAGGCTTGCAACCTATATTGAAATTTTCATATTCTGATATTTCTATAAATGTACAATGGTTTTTCTTACTAAAATGAGGGTATAGGACAACTTGTTAATAAATATGTTATTAACATTAGTGTTAAGACAGACAACTGGCAGTCATAACTACCATCTTTCACAACTTTATGCGTTGATTTGGAAACCATTATCAAGCAACCATGAGGTTTTATTTATTCTTTATTTCAATTAGTGTAAATTGAAATTTAATTACTCTAATTATCAGGAGAACTACAATAGAATCAGAAGAGCTACACTACAAAAAAGAACACTTTTCAATACCACGAAGTATTTTTTTAATTATTATTTGTTGCTTTAGTTAATGTTAGATTTCCCAACAATTGAAAGGTCATACGTGCAGCACAAATTATGAATGAAAGGAGTCACAGACACATTAAGAGTTAATTCTGGGGATGAAAGTGATTAAGTTTTTAATCTCCGGGTCTATAGCACAAAGTAAATATATATTTTTATTTTATTCACTCAGTTCAGTTAATTATGAAAGGTACTTTTTACAAAATGGCCTACCTTCCATAATCGCTATCTAAGATGAAGCTGACATTGTGATGACCTGGAATTAATTAAAATACATACAATTAAATTTGCAATCACAGGAGAACAACAACTATATATTATCGAGCTGATTTAAAAGCAGAGAAAAGAAAATCAAATCACAACTGTAATTATACAGCTACCTATTAATCCTCAAAGACATGAAAACTGGATTACCTTAAAGAAGTACCTACAGTTTTAAAACACACAAAATACAATACAATTTTAAAATATATATAACCCGTCTCAAGGTTATAACTAGAAAAAACTGATCAAATGTAATAACGAATGAGAAATACTAAAAGAACAGATATTATAACCATAATGCCCTCAAATGTGATTCATTCATTCAACAGCTATTTAATTGGGCCAGACATGCTACTAAGCGCTGAGATGCAAGCTGAGCACACAGACAAACCCTTACAGAGCGTACTGTCTAGTGAAGGATACAGTTAGTCAACAGAAATGACACAAACATATCACTAAATATTGTGATAAAGCTATCAAGGAAAAAGTAGAGGGAGCTTTGAGACATGGCATTCCATCTGAAAATTTCAGGATGGGAAGCTGGCAAAGGCCCTGAGGCACAAGAAAGTGAAGTAGGTTCAAGAACTAAAATATCTGTGTGCCTGGAGTATAAAGAGCAAGGAGGAAAAAGGAAGTAAAATTAAGGCTACAGGTAAGACAGTTAAATTAGTCATGGAATCCTCTGGAGGGTGGAAAAAGAAATACAAAAAATTTGAATAAGCTTACCTTAAACATATCAAAAAAACCCAAACCCATTGCCATCAAGTCGACTCTGACTCATAGTTACCCTACAGGACAGAGTGGAACTGCCCCATAGGGTTTCCAAGGAGAGGCTGATGGATTCAAACTGCCTACATTTTGGTTAGCAGCCGAACTCTTAATCACTGCACCACTAGGGCTCCCCTTAAATAAAAACCTTAGGAAAAACTTATTCATACACGCTCTCATCAAACTGAAAAGAAGCCAAGGAAAAGAGGAAATCCTAAAAGAAAAAAAAAAAAAAAAAGGGTGGGACAGGGCTAGGGGAATATAAAACAGGAAATAGAGTCAGGCATCTAAGAGAATTATGAGGAATAATGTTTAATACTTACCAATGTAAGTCCCAGTTGTTTTACAAATCATAGAACCCAAATCTCCATTTGGATGGTCTAGTTTTAGACCATACCTAATAGAATATACATGTTAATATCGAAGTTTGTATTGCCACTAAAGTTTTAAAATATTATCTTTCCCTCAAAAACATTTCATTAATTTCAAAATATGTTTCAGGACAGAAACTGTGGTTACGAAAAAAATGTCTGTAAAGGGGAAATATTTCCCAGCCTTGGTTGAAAATGTTTGAACAAAAGTTCATGTAACAATCATATACTTTAAAATTAATTTGGCTATCCCCATTGATGCTCCTCTTAAAGTATTTAAAATATTACCAAGTGAAACAATTATTTGATAAAGATGTTTCTTAAAACATCTTTTCTCACAATAATCTAAATAATAGTACATATCATACTACATTAGAGAAAGAGAGGAATATTAGGTAACACCTAACTATATAAATGATTACTAATTTACTATATGGTATAATTTATAAATTATAAAGTATTTAGCTATGCAGCATTGTTAGAAATTACTAATAAGTATGTTTATATCTGCCATTTATTTTTCTGCAGAAAATTATTTTAATTACTTACAAATTATCAGATTGTGGTATGAGAAGCTCACAGGGCATTCCTCCAACATAAACTCTGTATAAATATTTTTATTAGAAAAGATCAAGTTATATTTAATAAATTGTTTCAAAGCAATTATTAGCCAACCTCATTACCCACCTTTTATTTTTTTCTCTCCATCACTTATTATCCATCACTCATTCATTCAGCAAATATCTACCGAACATCTATCATGTGGCAGTACCTGCTCTAGATACTGCGACATATCAGTGAACAAAACAAGGATCCTTGCCCTTGTGGGATCAACATTCCAACTAGGGGAGATGGACAATAAACATGCTAATCATAATATATTTAGTGTGTTAAAAGGTGATAAGTACTGTAGGAAAAGAAAAAGTAGAAAGTAGAAGCAGATAATAGAGGGCTTATCCATCTGAAGGGCAGGTGGGAGAAGGATGTCGAAGTCTGCTTCCATAAAGATTTATAGCCTTGGAAACCGTATGGGACAGTTCTACTCTGTCCTATAAGGTCGCTATGAGTCAGAATCAACTCGACAGCAATGGGATGGAATTAGACTGTAAATTCTTTCGTAAACACTATGTCTGTTACTCATTCGTATGCCCTCTATAGTTTGTAACTGGTTGGAATTGGAGATGTGCCTGAATTCACAAGACTGAGAAGCAGAAGCAGGTTGAGCACTCAGGTCTCCTGACTTGCCATCCAGTAGAAGACCCATTGCTCTGTTCCCTCCTTGATAATGAAATTCAGGCCCAATACAACGACTTGGGACTCTTAGTGTTATCACTAACATGGTGGAAATATGATAAATGCAGCTCTAAGACTCTCATATTTTCAGGTGTGTGAAAAAATTGTTAATGTATCTATGTATTAATATCTCAGGATTTTCAGAGTACAAAGGCTGTGTTCCTGGGCCTCTGAGTCTCCTTCTGACTTTATAATCCTGTGCTATCACTAAAAAATTCCTATCCATTCCCTTCTATTACACACAAATAAATTCCAGCTAAAGTGAAAAGAAAATAAAGGAATTTTTTTTGAAAACTAAATATTCTATTTCTTGGCATAAGGGAAAGAATGATTTAGAAAACTGCCTTTAAGAATTAGAATACAAACCACTCATAACACTAAAACTACTGAAGCTGACCAAAGCGTTACTAATGCCAAATTGTCTGTATTAAATATTTGTTTCTCTATTTAATTGTTCTTTTATTACATATGAGGAATCGATATGAGATTTTCCAGAATATCATAGGTGCATGCAACTGTGATTTGAGAGTTCTGCCACACAGGATACCAGATAAGTCAACTTTATTTCATTCAGCACCTTTCAAATCTCTCATTTTACAAAATTATATATGCATATGTATGTGTATATATGTAAATATATATAACATGTATTTGTATATAAATATAAATACATATATTTAAATACGTCAGTACTTAAGAAATTGACCAAATTATGTTTGAATTGATTATTTAATTTACCCATTTACTCATTTAATTTATACAATAAGCATGAAGCATTTTGAAAGCCATAATACTGAGTCTGTACTTTCTTCTGAAGGAAATGAACAGGATTTTCAGTCTTTTAAGGCAAGACTGAGATAACTCCACCTATGTTATAGGAAGATAACTCTAGTAACAATGCTAGTTTCAGCCCAAAATGTGGGTAATTGTTTTCTGAGGTTAGCCAGTGTTACCATCTGGTCTACAGCTGGTAAATGGAGGAATCCATATTCAAACTCTGGCCTGTTAATTGATTATTGGCCATTTTTAGTTTTAGCATTCTTTTCTATACGCTACGGCATAGTGAAAAAGGACCAGATTGTGTATAAGGAGACTTGGGTTCTCCTCTTGACCCTGACTTAGCTACGTGACCACCAGGCCTCATTTCTTCTTTCTTTCTTTTTTAAATATGCAAAATGAGGCAGTTAGATTAAATAATATTGAAGGTGTTCTCCAGTAACAAAATTCTATGACTCTAACTCAATTGCTATTGAACTTGCTTTCATGTGCCTGCTATTGATAAAATCCATCACAGAGAGAGAAGGAATTATATCAGACCAGAAAAGAAAGGCATATTGACAATTGCTTCCATGTTAATGAATCATCCAACTATCTAGTTTTCTACCTATAATATGGCTAAAAAACATGAGTTTCCCATCACATTGTAGTTGTTTTTAATATTATTGGATCCATTCTTTATGGACTATCATGTGCTATTTTTGAGTTACAAGAATATATTCCAGCATCAAAAAATTACCTCAAAATCCTAACATTTTTCCCGTTTGAGCTTAGTGCAGTATTACTTCCATAGACATCAGTGAAGATTCTCCCTTGGATTGTTATTAATGTACCTAAAAACAAGGGAAAAAAGTTGTGTGTAAGAATATCTACCCGTGAATTTGATAACAAAACACTAGAAGTGTTCCCAATAAAACCAGCATCCAGACACTGGTCACCATTACTGTTTAGATTGTTCCGAAAGTCCTAGCAAGTATAATAAAACATGCACACGTATCTGTAAGTATTTATAGATTAAAGAGATGTTTCATGAAAGAGCAGATGAATGAGAGTCAATAATTATTGCTTGGGTCAAAGAGTGATTTATTGGAAAAAAATAAACACAATCCATACTTTATACCAAAAACAAAGTAAATTCTAGATGAAATAAAAATTAAATATTAAAAAAAAACCATAAAAATGCTAGAAAACATAGGTGAATACATAATATTTACGTAATCTTGGGATGGTGGGACCTTCTATAGCATAAAAATGAAGGAAGATAAAATGAAGGTTAAGATATATAGATTTGATAATAAAAATTTAAAGTTTCTGAATGATAGAAAAATCATGAATTACTTTTTAAAAGCAAACAATAAATTTGAAAAGACACTTGCCACACATATGAAATAGAAATGATTAATTTCATTAATTTACAAAGAATCCTTATAACAATATGAAAAGGATGACTAGCCTTAAATTAGGCAAAGGAGATGACTAGGTAATCTATAAAGGAAGAACTACAAATGGGTAATACACATAAAATAAATTCAATAGCATAACTCAAAGAAATGGAATTTTTAAAATGACTTACTATATTTTTCATACAAATAACTGAAAAAATTTAACACCCAGAGTTAAGTTTACAGAAATTGGCATTTTTGAATGGTGCTGTTGAGTTTATAGACTAGTATGATTATAGTTATTATAATGAACATTGGGAAGCCAGCCAAGTGTCCAATAGGGAAAAGGTTAAATACATTACAGTAGATTTATATACAGCCATTGAAAATAATAAAAAAAAAATTGGTAATCTTAGAAAATAAATTTTTTGAAGACTATTAAGAAACTAGAAAAATGTTCACCATATAATTTTAAGTGAAAAAGGTAGACAACAACATTGTGGGGTATGTGTGTATAGGTGTACATATATTCCAATTCTGTAATACAATATATATTTTCATGTATCACATATATTCACAGATCAGGACTAGAAGACAACAGATCAAAGTTTTGATCTAATCATTGATCTATGTGTGAGGTAGGATTATTAATAATTTTCTCTATTTTTAACTTCTGTAATGATTATTATTTTTATAATAAAAAATGATATTTATAAATTTTCAGGTATTATAATTTATATCCTAAAAAGTAATTTTAAATATATTAATTCAGCTATCACATAACAGACCTGGAGTTCCAGATAATGGTGTGATGCTCCTTATTGTTGGGGTTCTGAACCTTTTTGCCTGTAAAATAATAATGTCAATAAGCAATCTATATTGCATATTTTGCTCTTAGTGTTATAAAATGTCTCTACTTTTTACATAATTTTTATTTCAACAATATCCATGATACGATTGTCAAAATAGTTCCTTTCACATGTAATAAGTAAAGTTTAGAATATTATTCTGACTATTCAAGATCCTTTTCTTACCCCCTAAAAATCCACTTTTATTTCAATTATTGTGATATTTCAAAATGTTTTTAGTGTGGCACCTTTAAAATTCAATCATCCTGTTGCTATTAGTGTGAGCCAAACCACAGTAATACTACTCTCTAGTTAAGACTCTTAGGAATTTGGTGGAATGACATTACAGAAAGCCTATTCCTGGTGAAACTCATGGAGGGGAAAAAAAAAAGTTTCAAAAACTAGAAGCAAACCATTTAAAAAGTCCAGTAAAGTCAGCTTTAATAGTCAAGTCGATTATTTCTTAGAGCAGCTTGAGTATAATTTTTAAGAATTGTGACACCAAATGTGAGCTGTCAGAGAACGAAATTCTGGGGAGGCCACCAGTGTGTTCTAGTACCTGTGGTAGGCAGAATAATGCTCACCCCACCCCCACAGATATGGGGGCTAATTCCTAGAGGCTGTGAATCAATTAGGTTACATACTAAAGGGGAATTAATTTTGAAAATGGAATTAAGGCTGCCAATCAGCTGACCCTAAAATAGTGAGATAATCTGGGATTATCCAGGTAGGCCCAATGTAATCACAAGGGTCCTTAAAAGTGTAAAAGTTCCACAGAAAATGAAGGACAGCCAGAGAAGATATGATGACAGAAATCAAGTCAAAGTGATATGATGTGAAAAGGACTCCATCTGCCGTTACTGGGAAGACAGCAGAAAGGGTACAAAAACCACCAAAAGGTGTAAAAATCAATCTCTCTAAACCACAGTGTTTCCATCTAAATAATAGCTGTAACATAAAAATAATTGAAGAGTATATATTAAACAATATTGGATATAAGTTACTATTATATTTTGAGTAGCTAGATCAAAAACAGACTGTCAATTTAATACAACATCTTTAAAGATCACAAGAATCAGTGAATACAAGGGAGAAGATTATCTAGAAAAAAGAGGAGGAAAGTTCTGACATTTAAGAATAATTTAAAAATATGGATAATAACTTTCACAGATAATGATAAAAAGTCTTACACATAACATTAGAAAACTGTATGAGAATTAGAAGTTATAAATATGTAATTTTGTACAGAATCTTAAATTACTTGATAAAATATTTGTGCAAAATGTTTGCTATCGGTCCTTGATAAAATAGAAGGAAAAACAGTAAGCATAAGCATTTAGGAACTTTTATAGCAATTTGACATTTCTGTGACATTTTTATTTTTATAAGATACTGATCCTCAACAGAATTGACATTATAAAACAAAACAAAAACTGGTCTTCACTATAGACAGTTTAAGAAGCATTGGTCTAGGAGATAATGGAGACGTGACTTCAAAATTTTAATTGAAAACGATTTCCAAACTAGAATTCTATACCCAACTAAACTATCCAGCAAGTATGAGGGTAGAATAGAATTGTTAGTAATGGGAAATTTTTTTAAAAAAATTATTTTCTAAGTACACTTTATTCCACCAATATGATACAGTATATCAACAAAGAGGAAGATAGAGGATTCATGAAGCAGGTGGTGACATAGCAGAAAGAGGTAGGAAGCTCTCAGAATGCTGGTAAAGGGAAATCTCATGATGACTGGCTGCTGTATAGCAGACCTGAGAATCATCTGTCCAGATTTGAGCAAGAGGGCAGAAGGATCCAGGAACAGTGTCTTTTAGGCAAAGGTGATTTGATAGATTAACTAATGATTTGAATATATTGAAAAGATGTTATAGTTTGATACACAGAAAATTAATACAAACACATAAAAGAGGCAATTATTAACTTCAGGGAAAACAAAATACTGTATGAGAAAGGAAATGTAATCATAGCACAGTACATGGTTCAGCTGTGAATAATACTTACATAGACATAATAATGTTATAGATATTGATCTAACCAAATATTATATAATTCTCATAATAATGTTCTGAGATAATCTCTATTTTTATACAATATCTCCATTTTACAGATAATGTGGAAACTGAAGCTGTCACAGTAAATTATTTACTAGTATTTGAACCCTGACCCTCTGCACTAAGGCACAACACAACTGAGGAACCTGGTGGAGGAAATCACTTAGCTCTGCTTGGGGAAGTTTTAAGAGTTCTGAACAATAAGAAATAATTCATGAAGCAGAACTGAGTGAGATGTATGGGTCCTTGGTCAGAGAGAATGTTAGAAGACAATGATGGAAGCAGAATTGTTTCTAGACCATTGTATAATAAAAGAAACCTACAGATAATGAGTGAGGAAGGAATACGGAGCAGGGCAACTATATAATCATACTTGTGTTTTTGAAGGGTAAGTATGAACAGTGCAATGAAGAAGGACAGAGAAACCCATCAGGAGGTTATAATGCTGGGTGAGAAATGACAAGACCAGGATCAAAATAAAGGCCGTGGCAGGAAAGAAGATAAAGAGAGGATGAACTCAAGAGCTAAGTTAGAGGGTCAGGTCATTAAGGTTGGGTTTCTGAATAACTATGAGGCTAAAGGAAAGGGGAAATCAAGGATGACTATAGGTTACTAGCTTCAATAACTGCACAGCAGAGAAAAAATAGGTTTCAGGAGAAATACAAGGAGTCCAGGTTGAGATACACTGAATTTAGGTTGCCATTCGGACGCTATGTAGTAGGAAACATGGGTCTGCAATTAGGGAGAGAGAAGGAAGTCAGAGATACCTGATTCTGATGGGAGTCAGAACTATATTTGGGGATCATAGAAGCTTCTTGTGGAGAGAGGTCATTATTGTTTTCCTCAGCATTGTATCTTACATTGGAACATTGTGGACCTCAGTATTTGACAAGTTAAGTTAAACTACACATATAATTTTTTAAAAATATATGGGATTATTCTTAGAAGAAAATGGATTATTATAAATATCTATACTTAGGGCAATTAAATTTGAGTGATTCCCATGCTACATGCAGTCACATTTTATCTTATTACATTAGAAATATGTAGAAACAAAAAATAGGCATGTTTCCATCTAAAATGCAGTGGCGAGTCCAAAAAAAAAATAGAAAAGGAGAGAATCAAACTAAAAGCAGAAATAGGGAAAGAGGAAAAAAAAAGAATGGACAAGACAATTATTTGGAAATACAAAAGTTAATTCATTAATAAAATTAATGTAAGGGAAAGGGAACCAAATCAAAAATGATAAAGGAGATTCAATTACTATGGAAGATAATTAACATTGGGTAAAATTATTTTTAGCTATATGCTGATATATTGTTTAATGTAGGATAGATACAAATCTACGAAACTATAAAGAATAAACAAGCCAGTTCTGCAAGGAAGAAAACACAAGATCAATTATATGTTAATTAAAGAAGAGACGTCCACATACATTGAAGCTACATGCCCAGCTGTTGATGTGACCTTTGCAGGTATTATTTTCTGTAATAGGAATCCCATCCACACTGACTCTAACAGTGTAGGAATCTTCTGGCATTGCTCTGGAAGGTAAATGAAGAACATATGAGAACTTCAATATCTTTTATTTAATATACAATATTAATGGGGGAAAAAAAGCCCTGATGGCACAATGATTAAGCTCTTGGCTGCTAATCGAAAGGCTGGAGATTCTAACTAACCAGCCACTCTGCAGGAGAAAAGACCTGGCTATCTGCTGCCATAAAGATGACAGCCTTGGAAACCCTGTGGGGCAGTTCTCTGTCCTATAGGGTCGCTCAGTTGGAATCAGATTGGTGGCATACAACAACAGCATTAATGAAAAATGTTGCCCCGGACTGCATGTCATTTTTTGGAAAAACTGTTTAAAATTCTAATTGATGTACAGTTAGATTCCATTCTATATTATAGAAAGATAAAGATCTCCACCCTGAACTCTGTACTGCAAATTCTAACATCGTAAACCTTGGGCAACTGCTTTTTGTGACTATGTGCATAGCTGCTTAGTATAAAGGATACTTCCAACAACAAATTCAATAATAAGCACTTAAAATAGTAACATATCACCTAGGTACATCCAGTTGTTTTACACTTCATATATTTAAAAATATCAGTTTATTAAGTTTCCCATAAGCAAGCTTTTGTTGCTGAAAAAGAAGCCAGCAAGCCTAATGTAGATGAAATCTTCTAAAATATGTGTTACCTGTTTCTAAGGTCAATACTGAAAGTGCAATTTAAAATGATTTACATTTTTTCTCTTCTAAATTGCTAATAACATACATCAATTTGGGCTGATATAAAGAACTTGAAATGTCACAATACAAAATGACCATCTTTAATCTTAATAGTCATGTCATGATTTTGAACAAAATTAATCAAATTAGACAGGAAACCATAATTTTGGTATTTTGAGGCACATCATCACGATTTAATAGTAGCCATTTATCTTCTGAAAGAGCTCAGCAAGGATAAAATAATAGCTCTAATAACTTGGGAAAGGATATAGATATATTTCTATCATGCTAATGTGAAGAAAGAACACTATAATTAAGTAAAGGTATAATAATATTCTAAACATCATGAAATAAAAAATAATTGGTAATCAGGAAGACATTACAATAGCCAGGGTGATAAAACTATTATTATGTCAATATGCATAACGTCATGCTGATACAATGAAAATGACGTTTTAAAAGATATTATAAAACATACCTAGTATAACACGTAATATGAGTTGAATGACTAGCATCTTTTTCTACATCACAAGAAATTGACTGGAAAGAAGAAACTAATTGTACACTGTTTCCCAACTCAGCATTATCAACTCCATAGTTAAACTGGTTTGCTTGAGCAAAACCTGGAAAAGTAAGAAAACTCAATTATTATTAGTGAAATTCTATTGTCAGAAATACAGCAGTTGTCATGCAGCATTGAATCATTCAATAAATAATGAAGAATAGTACTGAAGTAAGGAGCCTTGGTGGTGCAACTGTTAAGCATTCAGCTGCTAACCGAAAGGTCCGCAGGCGGTTCTTAACCACCACCTGCTCTGAGGGTGAAAAGACCTGGTGATCTGCTCTCGTAAAGATTACAGCCTAGGAAACCCTATGGGCAGTTCTAGTCTGTCCTGCAGGGTTGCTTATGAGTCGGAATTGACTTGATGGCACACAACAACAGTACTAATTTGTTAATATATTTCGTATGTATCCCTATGATTATAATCCTCTTTGGAAGTTTCACAGCTACTCACAGAGCACAGCTCTGATTACCAGGGATGCCAACAGTGGAAAGTGAGTTAAGAGCCCATAAACTCTTTGCAGCATTTATGACTGAGATCAGAGATATTGCAAAGATGTGAAGGGGGTTAGCTTATCTACTGTTAGTCATCTAGTGCTGCTACAACAGAAATACCACAAGTGGATGGCTTCAACAAAGAGAAATTTATTTTCTCAGTCTAGTAGGCTAGAAGCCAAACTCAGCGCATCAGTTCCAGGGGTAGGCTTTCTCTCTGTGTCGGCTCTGGAGGAAGGTCCTGCTCATCAATCTTGCCCAGGGCTAGGAGCTTCTCCCTGCAGCAACCCAGAGTCCAAAGGATAAACTCTGCTCCCGGCGCTTTCTTGGTGGTATGAGGTCCCCCTGTCTCTCTGTTCACTTCTCTCTTTTATATCCCAAAAGAAACTGGCTCAAGATACAATCCAATCTTGTAGATTGAGTCCCGCCTCATTAACCTAACTGCCGCCTATCCTCCCTCATTAACTACATAGAGTCAGGATTTACAACACATAGTAAAATCACATCAGATGACAAAATACTGGGAATCATGGCTAGCCAAACTGATAAACATATTTTTGGGGGACACAATTCAATCCATGACACCGACACAGGAGGCATCTGGTATATACGGTCACAGAAGCTTTTCAGAGGAGTGAGCTCTGAGGATGTCTATGGGAAGCACGTTTCAGATAAAGGGGACAGGATGTGCAAAGCCCCGTGGAGGGAAGATATCTGTGGATTCAAATAATAGCAAGTGTAGTTGGAGAAGTATGAGTGAAGAGTGAAGAGAAGTGGTAGGAAACAAGGGAGCAGTTTAGATTTTGTTATGAGAAGAGAACCACTGGGGGCTTTGAAACAGAGCAGTGGCATTACATGACTCACACTTCCCAAGATTCATTAGCTGCTGTTCTGAGAATAAACAGAGACAGGAGTAAAGATGATGTCTCAATGAGTGATGGGATAAAGGACTATTTGGCATGAGCTCAAGAAAGGATTGGGGGACAATAAGTGGGGAGAACAAATATTGGTAACTATTTTTGAGGCACTTTACTGTAAAATGAAGCAGAGAAATGGGGTGGTAGCCAGAGAGGCATGTGGAGCAAGGAGGAGGTAGATGATTTTTCTTCTTTTCTTTCTCAGGTGAAAGAATTAATAGTATATTTGCATGCAGATAGGTGTATATCGATGGAAAGAGAGAAAATGATGGTATGAAATGACAGATAATTATTTTAATATTACTCTAAATATATGGAAATTCAAGACTAGATTTGGAAGTAATTAAATATAAACTATTTTTATATATTATAAGTATAATTATATTAAGCATTTTATATTATTGAAATAATATTCAGGTTTGAAATAAACCTAAGAAGTAAAGCCTATAAATAAGATTACTTGGGTAATATTCTATTAATTGAACTCTATAATTAAATTTTTTAATAAAAACGTGAAAAATGTACTTAATACTGCTCTGGTATGTGGAATTAATTTTACATATCTACGATGTTGTTTATAATATAGTATTTTTTAGAATAAAGTTAAATTAGTAAACAAACATAGTTTTTGCCTAGATTACTTCAAAGTCTAAAAATTTAAGTTCTGAGTTCTAAAAATATGTGGGTTTTTAAACATCGTTTTTCTCTAGAATATCACAGGTGCTTAAAATTAAAACACTACCATAGCCAAATTGATGATTAATAATATTTTCAAAATTATGAAAAATTTTCTTTACACTAAAAGATGTGCATCCATGTCATTTATGTAAAGTAATATGCTATGTATTTAAATTTCAGAACTTAATTACCTATAGACCATATCGCCCCACAACACAGTAAGAAACTTAACATCGGTAAATAGGAAAATAACTATAAACTCAGAGATATAAATTCTTTAAATCCTATGCATTTATATCACTAATGTTAGGTATTTACCTTAAAATATCAGTAGTTTTCAAGTATATTTCAACAAAACCATCACCACCACAATATGTGCTAGTGTCATGGACTGAACTGTGTCCCCCAAAAATATGTGTCAACTTGATTAGGCCATGATTCCCAGTATTGTGTGATTCTTCTTCATTTTGTGATTGTAATTTTCCTATGTGTTGTAAATCCTAATCTCTGCCTGTGGTTAATGAGGCAAGATTAGATTATGTCAAAGAGGATTAGGGTGGGATTGTAACACCCTTACTAAGGTCACATCCCT